ATTATTATTATATATTATTCAAGCTTGTGTGTACATTTAATATAGTGATAGAATTGCTATTTTGTTTTACATTCAGAATGTATATAAATGTATATAACAATTTTAGTACATTATATAGAATTGTGTTAAAGAGTGAACAAAAGTATAAATTTAATTTTAACAAAACAATGTTCAGTTGGCAATGTAGATGAAAACAATCTTCAATTAATTATTGGTTTTCTGAAGAGAAATCTTATGAACTTAATAAACCAATTGACAAATTGTTCATAACAAAAAGAAATCTTTAAATCAATGCTCATAATTACAAAAAAAAAAATAAGAAACAATATTTTTCTATATATATATATTTATTATTGATAAATGTTTGACCATTTTCAATTTAAAATTGTCAATTAAAACTTTTATCTTTCTAGCTTATAGTTTATATGATTTAGAGTATATATAAAAAAACAAACTATATTTAATAGATCTATGATGGAATTTAAAATACTCTGAAAATGTTAATCATTCTATAATTAAAGCATTTTCTGTCCTTTAATATTTTGAGTGTGTTTTGGTATTTTTTGTTTTTTAATTATAGATTTAAGTTTCTATTTTTAATTCTTCCATTCTTCTAATGATAAATTAATTAATCATCTATTCTATTGATTTCTTAATCATTAAGCTATCCTTCTATTGATTAATTCTCTAACATTCTTAAATTTAGATTTAAAATTAATTTTGTATAGTTTTTACATCTCCCGTGTAAATATGATTTCTTGCCTTATCCCATTTTATTTAGATATTAATATAATTTATAAATGCTGTAGTATCTCAAACCAATATTCTGTTGCATAATTTAGAAAGAAGTGTTAATATTCTTTATTTTATATAAAAAGTAATTTTTTGTGATCATATTCTAAGTGAGCAAATTTTCATTTTTAAAATAATTTTATGCTTTTGTTCACTTTGAATTATATAAATTCTCAAACATTTTCAAACTAGAAATTAATCTAAGAATTTTTTTTTTGAAAATGAACTTCTGATCAGAAAACATTTTAGAATTTATATATTACTTCAAAATAAAACATTTCACTTTACTGGAATAATCTTTCTCTTAAATTTTTATTTAAGAATTTATTCGTATTTCAATTTAAATTTTTTGGTATCACAAAAAGTACTTTAAACTTATTCACAGTCAAAAAAGAATGGCTAAATTTCTACCAAAAGTGTATAATGAGTGCATGCATTTTTACTTCAGTTAACTTTTAAATAATTATTTTCTAAACATTATATTTTATTTCTATAACATATAATGTTTAGAATTAATATATGTTGTGTTTATAAACAGTGAAAACTTTTGCCATCAACAATATTTATTAAGAAAATCAAACATTTTCAAATATTCTTGCAGCCATCATAGGGATATCCACAAATAGAACATTTATATATATATAGTGTTATTACATATAACACTATACATAAATTACATAACAAAATATCTAAGTTTTCAGCAACACTACACGTGCTGAAAACTTAGATATTTTGTTATGTAATTTTATGCTTATGAAATTGAGAGAGCTATAAATTAGAATATAAAATATTTAGTTTACTTCTGTCATCATATCACTTTTTAAAATAATTACATTGGTATAATCCCTATATTTATAATTTGTTTAAACAAATTGCTCTTCCATTCAGAAAAATTTGTTTTTGTTATTTAATATAAAACTAAAAATAAGATTACTAATAATTACATTTTAATGAAACTATAAATATCCAAAAATACACTTAATTATTTCTTGTAATATTTACTATGTAAATCATTTAGTGCCTATTTAGGAAATTTATTGATTGTCAATAAGTATTATGTTTCTTCATTCAACATTCTTTATTTGCATTATTAATGCTAATATGGAATTATGTTAATAGTAATAGCATAATTTTGTTTAGTGACAACTATGATCAATTTCTTCTGAATTCTGTAGAAGTAAACAAAAATATCTGAAATAAAAATACTTTTTGATTTATGAGATAACTTTTCAGACAGACATAGTCTATGTAATAGATGTGGTAATGAATTACATTTTAAATTTTATTATAACATATTATTTAATAATTTGGTTTTATTTTTTCATTAAATAAATGATAATGATTACGTTTTTTTTATCAGGAAAAGTCTCTTTAGATAATTTTAGTTCAGGAAAAGATAATTTTAACTTTTCTGCCCAATTAATTAGATGGAAAAGTTAAAATTATTATTTTATATCATATTTTGAATATGTACTTAAAATTATAAACAATGTTTTCATAAAATATTTTATTAGTTTAAAATAATGAGAGAAAACAATCAGTTAAGTTGACCAACAACGTTTTGAATATTTTTTAGTTTTAGTATCATGGATGTGGAGTCAGTGGGAAAATATGACTCCTGATTCTCAACTCTCAAGTTGGTATTTTTTAAAATCCAATTTTGACTCCCAACTTCCATAAAAAGCTTTGACTTCTGACTGCAACTCTCTATCCTTCTTCATTACCATAATTGCTGAATTTACTATTTAGTTCTTCACAATAAACCATATCACCATGATATATTTATACAAATAGCCATTTTTAGTTCAGGAACTAAACTAAAGATTCTTAATCCATCCTTTGTAAAATGTTTTTGACTATCTTGAGGAATTTGTTAGAAAAATTCTTAGATTAATTGAATGAAAATTGTGTTTAAAATTTCAAATTTTATTCTGATATTAACCATTTTGAAATATCTTGCATTCTATGAACATTTTAGTATTTTAAAAAGGTGTTCAGAAGTTGGTACTGAGGATGATTTAATATATAGTCAAAAACATTTTACAAAGAAAAGATAAGCAGTTACTGAACTAATACAGGATATTTTCTTGAATTATTTACTTTCATAATTTTGGATTTTATAAGAAAGTATAAACTCTTCTCATCAATGGAATAAAATACTATGTAAGATATTTAAAACATTTAACTATTTCAATCATATTACTCTAATAATCATATAACTCTAGCAATTCTGCTTTTTGAAAAATTGTACAGTACATTATATTCAAGTTTTTAAATTCATTTTTTACTTATTGCTTGTTTTAAATTTCTATAATTCATAGTATTTGATGTGACTTTAATAGTAAGATTATTAGCTGTGTTAACACATTAAAAATTAATCTCAATTCAACTATGTAATTTATACTGTTTACTGTTTTGTCTGTTGAAGAGAATGCAATGAAAGATTAAGCATGAGTACTCTCTTTAACTCGTTGTATTTATAAAAATTTGTTTTCTGTAATATATAATTGAAATATTTTGGAGCCAAGCTTATATTAAGTCTATTTCTTTATTTTAAGATTATTTGTAATTAAGCCAATCAGACTTATTAAAGATAACCTTAAAATAAAGAAAATGTATATAATTTTCTTAAATTATAAGAACAATATAATATATAATATATTTCATCATAAATTTTTGTACAAATAAAAATCATTTCTGGTTATAAACAACAACCACAGTATCAATATAATAATTTTATAACTTTGTTATGTAAAATATTTGACTCTTGTGAGAATTAGAGATAGAGAAATTTAGACATTAATAAAATTATATGTGGTAATCTCTAATTACTGTATATAATTTTATATTGCACATAGTAAATAATGGTGGTATAATTTTAAAATATCTCAAAATATTTAGTAAATAGTACAGTTTTGTGTTGCATTTATACAGGGTGTCCCATGTAAAATTTGCTCCTCTCTGGAAACAATACACATGAATTTAGGCAAAGGGCACTCATTAGAACCCTGTAGTAATTTTACTAATTTTGCTAATGTCATTGTAAAGAAAATTGATCTAATTGAAATTATGGAAATTTTCTCATTACAATAAAACAATAATGCCATTTTGAATGAGGATATGATTTCATATTTTTGAGAATTACATTACGCATTTATATTTCAAATTCTGATTAGCTTTAATTGAAATACATATAATACATATTTTTATATCTCAAAATCTACAGGGTTTGCATAAAATCTGGAACTAATGGGGAAAATGATCATGAACACATTAACACTACTACTAATGAACAATACCTCTACAAAACATGTTCATTGTTTATAATTATTGTCTACACATTACTGATCATCCTCATTCAGATGGTAGAGAATTTGTAACTTGTACAGATAGAACTTTTCTTCTTTCAAAATTTTTCTTATTATGTTGCATGGCACTTTAATTTTCATGCTAGTGTGTTTCAGAGATTTCTTTGGGCATGAATGAAACTTTACAAGCACATCAGTTCTCATTGCTGATGAAAGGCTATCCAATTTGAGACTTGTCATGAATGAATCCTGTTTTCTGAAATTTCTGGAGTACTTTCCATACTGCACTGTATGTTATTGGTGACTTCTCTGAATGTCTCAAGTTGAATTTGGCTACCATCTCTCTTTGTGTCTATCCTTGACCTTCTTGACTTATTTCCACCTGTAACTCAGTACAATTATTCAATTTGTAATGAGAAAAAATTTCTCATTGATTTACTTTATGCACATCCAATATTTTAATACCTGAAAATATTGAATTTTTATTATTTTTAATTGTTTTTTAATAAGTTGATTAAAGTATCATATTTTAGACTATAATTATTCACATATTAAACTAAAATATATATTTCATTACAGAAATGGGGTTTGCAGCTGATATGCAAGACAAAGCATCGCATGAGGCTTTAGTAGCATTACAAGATGCGGAACTTAGACTATTAGAAAATATGAAAAAATGTTTAACATTAAGGATTAAATGTGATAGAGATTATGCCAATGCATTGAATTCTGTGTGTATTCAAGCACAAAAGACTGATGCAATTACAGAACTTGAAGGTAGCTTAATTGCAAAGGTAATGATAATTTTTAAATGTTAATTTCTTTGATATAATAATTTGAGCAATATTGCAATGAAAAATCTCTTAGTTAAAAATTCCTTTTATATATTATTATTAGTTACAAGTATAAATCAAAAGTATAATTCTAAACTTCAAATTTTTCAACTTCAACAACAGATTATAATGCAAAATATATTAATATTCTAATCTAAATATAACTTTTTTTTCTCTATTTGTAAAATTGTAAGTCATAGAATCATAAAAACTGGTAAAATAGTTTATTAATTCAATATTCTAAAAATGAATTTTTTAGAATATTGAATTAATGATACTATATAGCTGAGCAGATATATGCAGCATAATTTATGCAAATGAGAAGAGCTCAGTATTTAAATCTAGAATTGAGTTTTCAAATTAAAACAGATAGCAATAAACTTGTTATTTTTTATTTTTTGTGAGCATTTGTTAATTTTGATATTAATTATAACTGTCCCAGAGATGTTACATGAAACATTGTTGCCATAATTGTATTTTTGGCTGAAAATATTTTCTATTAATTAAGTTAATCCCATTACAATTTGATTTATATCACTTTACAACTGTATTGTTGTAGTAACAAAAGTTATTATTAGTGTATAATATATATAATATAAAGAACTTTGGATAAGACTTCTAATATTATTGGGTTGTTTGGAAAGTAATTTTGTTTTTTTTTTCGTGGAAAAAAAACAATATTTTTATAATAAATAAATATTTTATTGAATTATATATCAACCATTTTGGTCAAATACCTGTTGTCATCATTTCTGGTAGTAGCATGATTTCACATTCATAAAAGTTTTGATCGTTGCTTACAAAAAACTGATCCAAGTGATCTTTGACATTGTCATTTCAAGTAAATGTCTTAGAGTTAAAAAAAATTTGTATAGACCGGAAGAAGTAATAATCTGAGTGTGCTCCATCTGGCGAATATGGTTGGTGTGATAGCAAGTCCCGTTTAAGTTATAACAGTTTCTGATAAGTTACCAAACTTTTGTGAAATTTGACATTATCGTGGTAAAACACTACACCTGTTTTGTTGATCAAAGTTCTGGCTGCCTTTTCTGTTTGATGATATTACTCGATTTGTTTACTCAATGGCAGTACACTTTCGAATTGATTGTTAAATTGTCTTTTAAAAGCTCCAAAAAAAAATTTCTTTAAAATCCCACCAAAGAGAGCATCTCTTTTTAAGAACATGTGGAATCCATATATCAAGCTTTGAAATGAAACCAATTTGTTTGAAGTAATCAAACAGTTCAATTTGACAAATTTAATCTCTTAGTGATTTCATGTGTTGTTATTCGGCAGTTTGCTTCAATCAGTACCTTTATTTTGTTTTCCTACATGGTGCATCTTCAATATTGAAATTGCCAGAACGAAATTTTGTATACCAGTTTTGGCACTGTCGTTCTGTCAATACACCTCCATACACGTCACACAATTTTTTCTCACTTGAACAGCTTTTCAGTAATAAAAGAGCAAAATATGCCGAAAATGTTGCTTTCAATCTTCCATATTTGATGGGACACAAAAAATAAACAATTGCATGAAATCAAACAAAATTTTTTATAAATAAGTTTTAAAATAGTAGCTGTCAAAATATATAATGATAATACGGTTTAGAATGAAAATGGTGGGAAAAATACGACTAATCTGTCTAGTGGTAAAAAAACGAAATTACTTTCTGAACAACCCAATAAAATAATTTGTAAAAGTACAGTAGAGTGTCGTTTATCCGAAAGTCGGTTATCCGAAAGCATTCCAGTCGGCAAATTTAAATTTTTGCTAGTGCTGTGGCACTGCAATCTTTGACTATATCTTGTGCTACTCCAATATTTTATTTTTGTTGGTGTGTGTATTTTAGCTGGCAGCACTGGCACTTTTGTGTGGTGTTTTTCTGAGGACTGTGTATCGTGCTGAATCAAGCATTTTTGATAGTAGATTAACTTCTAAAGTATATATTTTTTTTGTTTTTATATTTTTCAATATATTTATTTCGTTTGTACAAAATAAAAAAATAATTTTTAACGATATAATAGCCACAGTTATTATTTTAAAAAGTTTTCGTTAAGCTTAATATTGACGAAAATTCAATGTGAAGTGACACGCAACAGAGAAAAATTTCAACATGGGATAGGTTAATATATTTTTTTCGCACATAATCGGTTATCTGAAAAATAAGTTATCCAAACAACCCCAGTCCTCAATTGATTCGGATAAACGACACACTACTGTAGTTAATCAATGAACTTAAATAAACTACCTAACTTCACTGCCTGTAACCGGCGTTCGTCTTCTCCAATACGAAGGACTTTGCAAACGTTTTCGAACCTCTATAGTTTGAACTTAAATATTTAGTTATTGATGATGTTTGCATTTATAGTTCATTTAAATAATCTAAAAAGGCAAATATTATCAAATGAGAAATATAACTAAGTGAAGTGAAAACTACAGTTAGAAAAATGAAACTAAGAAAAGTTCTACCGGTTTTTTAAAAGTAGTAGAAAAAATTATAACATATAGGCAGTCTTCAACTTTTAGATATAATGCATTCAAAAAATATGTACAAATGTCAAACAACAAAGTGGCAGTGGTATAAAGGGAATTCTGTTCTGGAGAGCTAAAAAGAAAAAATACAATAGTCTCTCTTTACATTGTGGATTCGGATATATCACACTTTTTTTGGTTTCCCAAATTTTAAAAGCACTCAATAAATTTTAAAATATCAATTGCTATTGAATTTCTTTTTGCAATGAAATACTGTATTTTATTCTTACTATTGTCCTTGAAACTACCACTGCAGGTGAAACAATAAACTTGTCAAGATCTAAATAAGCAAAACGGGTGGACAGATTACTTATCACATATGTTTCCTTTTGATATTAAAAGTTATTTGCTTATTTGTTTTAAGTACTATCTCCTCATTTACAAGTTTGTGAAATTTCAAATTCACAGTATAATGTGTAAGGAAAAGATTACTTTATTTCTGAACAGAAAGTTCTAAAAGTTTTATACAATAACTTTATTTTGTTTTTTAGAGAATTTTTACTGTTTTTAATTTTATAAGTTTTTATGTTGTATTATATGTTCAATATTTATTTTTTAAATTTTCAAATACTGTATTTATCTTTTTTATTAAAAAATAGAAATTACTCGAATTTTTAATAAGCAATTTATTACGAAATATAGTACTGTATAATAAAATTGCAACTGATATTTTGTTTTTAAATTGACATTATTTGTTTTTAAATGCCACTGTTAAAGAAATAATAATGCTAAATGGGCATTGGTGGTAGTATTGATGTTTATGTAAACATCAATTAATATGATATAACAACAAATAAAATTCAGTATTGCAAAACTAAGCTTATTTTATATATTTTATATGCTGGTGAAAGAATAGAGGATAGAGATTCGATAGCATGTATAATGTGTTCAGTTTAAGTCCAGAATTTTTAGTACTCTGTTATATCATGCTTTTTCTTTGTCTCCTGACAAGCACAATATAATGAGGGGCTACTGTATAAAAACTCTTGTTAAGGCAGAAATATTTATTATTTTTTCAGTATTTTCTAATTTATAAAACACTAGTGATATGCACCCAGCTTTGCTCAGGTTTTTGAGGGGGTTATGGAATTAAGAGTGTGTGATAAATACAGTAGTCCTAAAAACTAAAATGTGCATTTATTGACTTAAGTATTTATAATAATGAAACTGTAGAAAAACAAAAAATTGCTTGGGCAAAGATAAAAGATCATTCTCATTCCATTGGATAACTTTGGTGATCTAAATTTCACAAAAGCATTTCTGGTGCTCCAACCCATAGATCTATGTGGTGGTAGTCCAGCTGGTTCCAAGGAGTTTAAAAACTCCACCAGGTACATTTGGCAATGCATTTGTTTTTAAATGCCAATATTGTTCTCTCTTATATCCATTTCTGGTTTATATAGTATTATCAAATTAGTATCTGGATCTTCAGTGAATTTGCCATCACCAAGATACAAAAGTTGTTTAGTAAAATTCTCTGCAGATCTGTCTCCCTATAGATGAACCCTCAGAATCATTGAAAGGGACAATTTTTTAAAGTGATTCTACAGTGATGTTGCCTTTAGGCAGGCATTAAGCAACTCTGCAAGTGTTAGCAGGCAAACCAACAATCTATTATCCAACAAAAATTAGCATTTATTTATTATTTTTGTCAACAGATGGCACTATGTGTAAAGGATGGGGCATCTATATACTACCTGAATATTTTGGGTAATATATATAACTTAGTGTCATTCCAGGGTATGAGTAATACTCATACAAACTTTGGTCCAGATTAGTTTAAGAGTAATGATTTGTATAAAGGACAAATCAATAAGAATTGATTTTTGGTTTGTCCTTTAGATTATTTGAAATTCAAAACTAGATTTAAAGAGAAAAGTGACAATCAAAATTAGTTTTTGCAAATTATTTTTGATCTTTTCTGAAAACTGCACTTGTCATAAACCACAGTACTATTACTAAACCTTTAAAAATGTGCTATAATTTGAAATCAACTTCTTTCATAGGACATTTTAGCTTTCATTCTCCTTTTTAAATTGATATTTGTTTCTTTCTATTCGGAAGAAGGCTGTTTTAAGATGACCAAAAATGTTTGAAAGTTAAAATTATACTGCATTTTTAAAGTCTTGATTTGAGTGGTAGTACTATGATTTTTGATGTTACAGAAACAAAAACTGTCAGAAAGTACTACTACACAATAAATCAGTGTTTTTGTTTGTTGGATAAAAATGTATAAAAGTCCAAATTCCAGTCTAAAAGTATTTGCGAAAAGTGATTTAACAGTATAAAGTGCTATGTACAAAACACGGGTTCCCAACCTATGGGTCGCGACGGGCTTTCTGTGGGGTCGCCAACTTATAAGTAAACTAAAAAAAATATTCACTATAATGAAATTTTTATTTTTAATGGTGTCTTGAAGTTTGAAT